ACACCCTAAAGGAAATGTGATTCCGGCCCTCACCAGTGGCTGACAGATGTGTTCTGTGACAGATGAAAATACTGTCAGAGCAACCTAGTGGTTACTTTTTTTTTTTAAACCAAAAAAGAGGCATATTTAAAGGGAAGATTTTAACCTATTTTCCCCAGCCCAAAATAGAAACGGGGCCATAATGTTAGTGCTATTATTATAATGTGCATTTCATATGCAAAGATGCTGGATCGGATTAAGGGAAGGAAGCATTTGGAATGATTCCATTCTGCCTCTCTCCTGAAAGGCTCTCTTGCTCAATATTTGAGGTAGCATTTCTCAAAATGTGTTTCACAGCAAACCGGTCCCTCAGAATGTCGACGCTGCTCTGTGGAAGGAGGCGCCAGCCTTGCAGAAGTTGGAGGAATACTGGACAGGAAAGTTAAACAGGTTTCCTTGGAACAAGGTTTCTATGTGTCTCTGTTGAGTAATGTGACTCTAACAGGGCACGGAAGTGTAGGGGCGACCAAGTGTATTGAACCATAGAATGCAACATTGTTTCACTGAGAACTTACTTCATGGGCCAGTCCTCTACAGGAGCGGCCACCAGGACATTTCTGAAAATGACTATTTAAAAAAAAAAAAGTGTGTCTTTCACACACAAACTTGCACATGAATTTTCATAGCACCTGACACATTAGTGTTCAAAAATAGAAACAATCCAAATGGCCATCGTACAATGAATAAATACATAAAATCTGGTACACATGGATCAGTACTCGGCTTTAAAAAGGAACTAAGCTCTAATACAACAGTACTGAAAACATGACAAATGGAAAGGAACACAACACAAAGGCCGCACAAAACGTGGCCATTTATATGGCATGGACATGGGAAGTAATTTAGTGCTTGCTGGGACAAGGGGAAGAAATGGCAAGCAGTGCCAGCTAATGGGCATGGGGAGGGAGGGAAGTGGGAATTGACAAAAGTGTTCCAAAAATTATATCTTGATGACAACTATGCAATTCTGAATATACTATAAATCACTAAAGTACAGTCTTTACGTGAGAAAATAATCTCGCCTGTGAATTGCATCTCCAGGAAGCTCACCACAATGCACACCTTTGGAAGAATAGTTTTAGCCCGAAGGGGCTCTGGCCTGTCTCTTTCAGGGCTGCTCGCTTGACGCTCAGAGTGAAGCATGGCATCTTCCTCGATGGGTGGCTACGAAAGCTCTTGAGCCAATCATACCTGTGACACTTTTAAAGTCACGCCCGACCCCCTGCATTCAATCGTTGTAGCGACTTAATTTCTTACTTTTCTTGATGAGCCTACTTACCAACACCGTTTTGGTATTTTGTATTTTTTCCTATTTCACCTTTTCCTTGTTTTAGTTTCTTTGTACACATGCAATATGGTCAAAACCAACCCCCCCCCACTTTTTTTTAGTATCTCTTAATTACTGAGAAATCACCACATCCTTGCTTTCCTGTCATTGTTCCAAGCTGTGTGTGTGCCATTTATTTTTGTTTCTTCTTACATATCTGCCCTGTAACCTATATTGTAGTTTTTGGCTGGTCGCCAGTGTGTCTACCAACTCCATGCCCATCCTTTCCCTCTGGATGCTGATGCTGATTAGCATCAAAAGACTACAAGGAAAAGGGGAAAGACAACCCAAATGTACCTGAGATGCTTGTCACCTGTCCTCTTTAAGGAGCGTTTACATGGCAACTGTATCGAATAAAGGCAGGATGCTGAACAGTGGAATGGGGGGGGGGGAGGAGAGGCTGTGCATCTGTAGACGAATTCCTGTGAGCTGTGCCCAGGGGAGCCCCGAGAACGCATCTCCTGTGACAGTTGCTGGGTTAGTACACTTAAAGACTTTCATCACTTCACAGTTAAACCTTCCTAATGAATGAACACACTTCAGTTTCACAAAATAGGAAATATAGAAATACACATTTTAGAAAGTGTGAAAAAGAGAAGGCGCAGGACTACGGAGATCTACTTACTAATTTTGACTTCTTCGTCTGTAAATTCGATATTCAATAAAATCCCTTTCAGAAGTCCCCTTCACCCCCATGATCTTGGGGATATCTTATTTTCTCCAAAGGTGCCTCTTTGTTTCAACCTTTGTGCCTTAAAACCTGTATTAAATCTCTTTTAATAAACTCTAAATCTGCCTGGGAAAGGAAAGAAGGTTCCTTTTAGAATTACCACTTTATGATTCTAAAATTAATTGGGAGGTTTCATTCACCATTTATTAGTCAGTTCACTCAATGAACACCCATTCATTGGGATGGTGTTCCCATTGAGAGTCCCTAGTACAATAAGACCTTAAAAAAGCAGTGAGGGGGAGAACTCTCAGGGTGTCGCATCCACAGCGGGGTACCAAGGCTTCCTGGTGAGTTATTTTAGAGAAAAGTGAGGACTAGACAGCTGAGAAGAGAAGGATTTACACAAAGACAGAACAGTCAGCTTGCTCAAGGGACTCATTTATCTATAAAGGTTCAGAATAGACCATACACCTGCTGGGACAGAATACAATCTGTTCCATGTGTCTAGTGTTTTTCCATATCAGTTACTTTTCTCATTTACCTGAGAGAAGTAACTTAGGGAAGAGAGCTGTGATGATTGTAGCAATTGTCAATAGGTTGTCTAGGACACAAGCCTTAGGACATGCCCACGAAAGATTTATCTACACTCAGTTAGCCTCTGAGTATGATGATGTGACAGGTTATCTCGGCTAGGTATATTGAGATGGGAAGATCCCATGTGGGGAGCACCAACCTATGGACTAGGATCCTGGGCTAATGGAAAGGAGCAAGTAATCTGGTTACTTGACTTCACTCTCGGCTTCCTGGCTGCTGATACAATGTGGCCAGCCGCTTTGGGCACCACTGCCCTGACTCCACTATGATGCCCTGGGCCAGAGTCAAAAACAATCTTTCCTCCCCTAAGTTTATTTTTTTCTCTATCTATTTATTTTTTATCACAACAAACAAACATGTAAATAATACTTGGATTTTAGCTTGCAGATTGAAGGGGATGCAGACCGTCGTTGTGGGGAAGGTATGACATCATAGTTCCATGGCATTGGGAACAGGAGGTGACTGACTGCGTGTAGCATCTGAGTGAATCAAAAAGCCAAGAAACTGGGCCACACTATCACCCTCGAAGCCTGCCTTCTTGCAAGTCACCTCCAAAACTACAACTTTCCAAATAGTTAGAGACCAGTTAGAGGCCAAGTGTTTAAACATATGAACCTGTAGGGGACATTTCATAACATAACATTTTCTTCGTATGTCATGCTAAGGAGTTGGGATGCCCACAAGCAACAAACAAAAACCTCAGACAACAATTTTTTTTAAGATTTGTGATTATTTTTTAATTGTGTGTATGTGCATGTGTGCGTGTGTGTGTGTGCGCGCGCATGTGTGTGCATGTGTGTGTGTGTGTGTGTGTG